AGCACATTTTTCCTCAGGAGTGAAGAAGTTTGTAGGAGTTGGAGTCCAACACTGTTTGGAAGGTTAGAACATTGTTACACCTTGCACTATTCAGAATTTAATCCTTGCACACTTTTTTTGTAATATCATTTTGCTAGTGGAGTCTCACGGTCCTTTTTTAATGTTCTGGTTAGATAGCTTTTGAAAAGATTTTTTTTCATGTCATGTTCTAAACATATAGTTTATAAGAAATTATTTGGACACAAGTCACACCCCTCCTTTGAATCCCCTCTTCCCCTCTTGATGCACTTAGCTGACTTTTCAACATTCCTTGAAAGAACGGGCTGGCACTGGTTCCACTGGCCCAACTGCCAGTCATACAATTCCTTGTGCCAGTCACAAACCCTGAAACACTTCTGCTGGTTGTCCGGCCTCTCCACCTGCTTGCAGCGTGGTCCATCCTTCCACATGGGTGCACCAGATGGCTTAGGTCTGGGTGCCTCCTGGGCCACATTCATCTCCCAATGCACCATCCCCATGGACCAGTCTTCCACAAATATATGGATGAAGTTTCAAATTCACTTTGGGTCTTAGCTCCCCAGATTCCAAACAGGAGAAGCACAAGAACTCCAGTGCACTTGCTTGAGAGCGTGGAAACCTTGGGACCACCATCGAATGAAGCTGCGCTCTTCTCTCGCAGCCTCTTCCAGAAGGTGGCTGTCGGTGTCAAAATCCATTTCTCTCACATCTGGATGCAAAGAAAGAATGGATAAAATAAAGTGACTTGTTAAAAAAATAGATATGCCATCATTAATCTTGAAGCTGCGTACCTCAGAAAGATTGCACCTAAAAATTTCCACCTGACAAGAATTTTTTCATGCAACCCTACAATCACATCCATATTACCACAAAACATAAACAAGTCCAAGTAATTTTGAGGTGCAATTATTGCTGAGTCTGTTTGCAAATACCAGATGATGTGGTATTGAAAAACTTCTGATTTCAAAGTATTAAGAACCACACTACCCTGAAAAGAAGACAGAAAAAGGGCAACCAAAAAAGTAACAATATTTTTAGTTATTTTCAGACAACAGTATTATTTAAAATCCATCTCCAAAAATTGGAACAAAAGACTGCTGTTTCTGCATATACAGAAATGAACAGAAATGTTTTGAGATCAATTGTAAGATTCTGTTCAGTTCTATTTCAAAATACTGAAATACTGGACAACACCAGCAATCACTATGTTACACTGCACAGGAAAGCCATTGAAATCCACAAACATCAGCAGAACTTCAACAAAAAAGAAGAAAGTTTAAAACTCAAGAAAGCTTGGCTCCCAGCACTGAAAAATACAGTGTGCAAGAGGTCAATGAACTCTACCCAGCCACAAGGACCGGTGATCACTACACACAAAAGACCAGCTAATGACACCCATCAGTCACAGTGACAGATAATCTCTCCTCCTTATCACAACAATACACCCACAACAAAAACACACTAATCACCATAATCACCCATCTCCTGACAAGGACAAAAGCTGATCCCACAACTATAGATGCTCAACTCCCAAATAAACTGCACCAGAGCACAGAGTGCTACTTCTGTCCTCTGAAGATGCCAGCCACAGAGACTGATGAAACATTAGGAAGAACAACCTTCAGAACACGGCCAAAGAGCCCAAAAAAACCCACAACAACCATTAGATCCCGGCCGTAAAAGCCTTCGCAAATACATCAGTTGTAAGACTTCTAAAATCATCATCATCATCATCCAGTTTTTTTTAAAGCATTGTAGCAGCAGAGCTACTGTTATTGAGGAGAAAACATCTCCATCAAAACTCTTGGGAAAGTATTACTATGCAGAATCTTCCCAGACTCAACCTCCTTCACTATCGCTGGCTTTAAAAGCAGCCTTGATCCAAGAAATTAGTTGAATGCTTTGTCTTGAAATCAGATATTTGGAAGGGCAGCTATAGTGGAACTTTAAAATACCTTTAAGAATAAGGAAAGTTATATCACTGAAGACCCAAGGCCAAGACCATCCATGCTGTGTAATCCCAATTACTGTACAGTATATAGAAATAAGTACTGGACAATTAAAATACCTGACAAGAAAAGAATCTAGCAGGTAGCTGCTTTAGTCTGTTATAGCAAAAGATAAACCATAAGTCATGTAGCACCTATAAAATGAACTAGTTTTTATTTTTCTTAAGATTTCATGTTAAAGATCTCTGTGTCAAAGGTCTAGATCAACCCATTTAAAGTCTGGAAATGGAGGAGAACTTTGATGACATCATGGGCTGCAAAAAGACAAATAAGTGGGTTTTAGAGCAAGTCTAGCCTGAACTAAACTGATTTGTAGATTTATTCATTTATTTTAAAAAGGAGTTCTCTGTGAGTTCTGACTAAAAGTATACAGGACTAGAAGCATTGTCACCCCCCTCCCCATCACTATGCATAGCTACATAGCATCTGATGCTGTAAGATCAAGAAATGTTCTTTCACCTACTGCTGGTGTAGGACATTTTCTTGTATTTGATGTTCATATACTTGGAAGTTAACTACTGTATCTGCTTTTTGTAGTTCTGTGAAGAGAAAGCTCAACTACATACAAGCCCTTGATCTGAGAATGGTCTACTTCCATCTTTTTGTTGTTGTTGTTTAGTTGTTAAGTTGTGTCCAACTCTTCGTGACCCCATGGACCAGAGCACGCCAGGCCCTCCTGTCTTCCACTGCCTCACAGAATTTAGTCAAATTCATGTTGGTTGCTTCGATGACACTGTCCAACCATCTTGTCCTCTGTCGTCCCTTTCTCCTCTTGTCTTCGCACTTTCCTAACATCAGGATCTTTTCCAAGGAGTCTTCTCTTCTCATGAGATGGCCAAAGTATTGGAGCCTCAGCTTCAGGATCTGTCCTTCCAGTGAGCACTCAGGCTTGATTTCCTTTAGAATGGATAGGTTTGTTCTCCTTGCAGTCCAGGGGACTCTCAAGAGCCTCCTCCAGCACCACAATTAAAAAAAAATCTTTTAATGCAGAACATTAGGTTTTGTGAAACATGTCTGAATCATAAGTAACAATGTGAATAGATATAGTATCTCAAGTTTCCATGGAAAGGCTGTGATTAATGTCCTTATCATATAATGAACCAAAAGACAAGTTTAGTGAAGCAAGGAGAAACATTGTCATGATGTTAAATTATCTTTACTCCATGGATTAGGTTTCCTTGTCATTCCTCTCTGCCTCATTCTCTTGATGGATGTTGACTCTCTGGTTCTGATATCTAGCTTGGCATGAAGGGCGTATATGTTTGGGTACTACAAATGAACATAGTAGCTTGAAACTGGGGAGATGATAGACATGAATGAAAGCAGAAAGAGGTGCATGAATATGGAGGCAGATGGAGGAAAAGGAAAAGCTATTTAGGCTTCATGTTTGGATTACTCACTCTGGGTTGAGGGGAAGCACTGTACACCCACCTTCATTTCTTTCCCTGAATACTTGGAGGGCACTAAGTCTGAAAGGTGTGAGACTCTGGCTGTCCATGAAATCTCTCAGTGTGAACTGGGAAATCATGCTCCTACAAAGAGCAGAGGGTCTATTGTTCTGACTTGTTGCTTTCCACATGGACAGCAATGAGGATGGCATAATTGGAACATCCCCTCAAATTCGTGGTGAGTATATTCAAATAGTAGTGCCTGAATAGGGCATTGGCTTGTACGATTAGTGTTGGGGAATACATTAGTTTAGTATTCCCAACTGCTCTTCACAAGTGATTGTAGTTGTTGTTTAGTCGTTAAGTCGTGTCCGACTCTTTGTGACCCCATGGACCAGAGCACACCAGGCCCTCCTGTCTTCCACTGCCTCCCGGAGTTGGGTCAAATTCATGTTGGTAGCTTTGATGACACTGTCCAACCATCTCATCCTCTGTCATCCCCTTCTCCTCTTGCCTTCACACTTTCCCAACAAGTGATTTGTTTTTCTTGTTGTTTAGTCGTTAAGTCATGTCCGACTCTTCGTGACCCCATGGACCAGAGCACCAACAAGTGATACTCCTGTCAGTTCAGAGTCAGGACAATATTATCAGATGTTTCATAATTTTAAGTTCCTGCACAGCACAGAAGGGTAGTTGCATTCATAATTGTGCTGCTTTTCAAGCTTTAAACCATTTTACAAGCCCAATCAACTTCAGTGGCATTTTAAATTCCATTTTATGAGAGCACATGTCAAAAGCTGGCATGAAAAAAGGCCAGTTCTGCGTATTTCCTTAGTATGAGTTACGATACCAAGATGTGCATTTTGGTTCAGAAAATATTTTAGCATAGAATGCTGGGAATGATTTTAAAGGGATTTCATATCCTTTAAATTTAACATAGTGGATGTCTGTTGTATTATAGGCATTGCTAGCGTAAGGACAAGAAAACAATTCAGCTGGGTATTGAAGAGGTTAATAATTACAGTGTGTGTGTATGTCGGGGAGAAACTACAGCTATTGTCATTGAACCAAAGAAAAATATTACCAGATTGCTTGCTTTCAAGCTGGGTGAACCTCACAAAATTATGCCCGAAAGCAGGCCATTGCTGAGCATGAGATAGTTTATATATCGTATTTGTTCCTTTTGAAAAACTTCAGCCCAGCATACTTGGGACTACTTATTTTTGTCCTTAATTCACTCTATAAGGTTGAGAGATAGCCAGGAAGCTTACCCGGTGTCTTTGTTCCAGTTACTAGAGTGGGAATTTGAACTCCAGCTTCCTTGATCAAAATTCAGATACCCTTCTACGGAAAATCAGTGTGATGCAGTCAAATAAGATAACATTTCAAAAGTTGAGTGAAAAAGTTCAGAAGATACTAGCAGGATGAAGGAGAGAAGGAATAACCACCTTTCAAGGTTGTGTATTTCCAAAAAGACAATGGCTTTTGCTGTGTTTCACATACATGCTCTTTATCTTTATCTTAGGTAACTGTTTTTCTTGCCTTTATTATCAGTCAGCATTTATTTATGTTGTTTCTTTTCTAGCCGGAAAATCTACAGAAGAATTGGCTTCGGGAATTTTATCAGGTACTGTGAAATCTTCTTTATACTCTGTTTATAATGTATTCAGACTATCACTACCTGAGGTATTAAGAATCTTCCTAGAAGCTGTGATTAGAGCTGCCAATTCTGCATACACTTAACTGGAAATAAACTCTGCTGAATTTGTTGGTGCTTACTTCTAAGTAAACATGTATATGCTTGAATTAAAGGGTAGTGTGGTCAAAACAAAATAAAATCCAAATGAAAAAATAGACAATACCTATATAGATCTCTAAAAAATCATCATACAATACAATACACTAACTTTTGTGGGTTAAAATGCCCTTTCATCAGGTTTGTACTAGTGTGAAGAAGTTAAAGTCCAAAGATAGTGCTTCAAAGCTGCTTATGTCAAAGGCAGCCACAATAAATATGTTTGCCTGGAAAGTAAGATTAACAAAGAATCACTTGTGTCAGTGTTTGGAAACAAAGTGAAGTCCTTGTTTTGATGATGCAAGCACATCATGACTTGAATAATTTTTTTTCTTGCATGTTACTTCTACCTCAGACATTCCTGTAATGGCATGTAAATTATTTAGGATGGATTGTACCATGCACCACTTTCTAGAACAATGGTTCCCAACCTTGGGTCACCAGATGTTCTCAGACTACGACTCACAGAAACCTTCACCACTAGCTGTTCTGGTCAGGATTTCTGGAAATTGTATTCCAAGAACATCTGGGGACCCAAGTTTGGGAACCATTGTTCTAGAAGCATTATGAATGAAGATATTGCAGTGATTGAGATCCATGGTGCTGTTCTTAACCACTTATATAGATACAAGGGCCTAGATATTTGGAATCAAGAAGAGCAAGATGGTTTTCAGTCTGGAACCCTTTGAAAATTAACCTTTTAGTGTACGTATATACTTTTCTTGATATAGAGTAGATCTTTCAAATCAATTTGTATTGTTTAGCATTTGTAAAGAGTAGACATGGGCAAATTTGGTGGAGTGTGGGGGTCTTTTTCTGCCTTCACATATCTCTAGGGGCTACAGCAGCCACAAAATATGCCAGCAAATCCCCCCTCCCCACCAAAATAAGCCAAAACAAATGGGTTTGGGAAAGAATATTCGAGAATGTTAAACCATGCACTGAGGTGCTGAGACCTCTTTAAAAGGTGCATTTACACTTCTGGAGACTCCAAGGAGCTCTAGTTCATCTTTTTCTCAGGAAAAGATGACCAAGGGAGGACAGAAACAGCCTGGAAGGTGGTGCACCCTGCTATAGATATAAATCATGGTGTTTTTGTGTGCTTTTTGAATGATTAGCTCACGTTACAGTTATCCAGAGTAGAAGAATGGAAAGGAAGAAGTTGAAGAATGCAACAGTATAAACAATATTGTCTCTAAAAGGGTCAGTGCAAGAATTGATGGATAGCTCAGTGGCTTTGGTATCTGACTGTGGAGCCAGAGTTTAGGAGTTCATTCCCCATGGTGGCTTCTTGACAGGGGGTGGACTCATTTATCCCAAGCTCTGCTGTTCTAAGCATTTGCCATTTACCCTCAGTGTCTCCTTAAAATCCTGTATCTCTGCAGGGCCTACCTTGATGAAAACAGTTGCAGTTTGCCCTAGAGCAGCAATTCAAGGAATGTAGTCATAAGACCAAATAAAGCACGACAGCAGACAAGGTTGTGGTGGTGATGAGGCTTGGGAAAAGACACGGTTGGAGCATCTTTTTTAATGACATTCCTCTCCCCATGGTTTTGAGAGAGACCTCCAATGTGAAGCTTTCAGACTCTCTGCAGATGCACTGAAGGAAGAGAGCGGAGAAATGACAAGCCCATGTTGTGGTGTACCTTTTATTATATGTGGCCATAGCACACATAATACCTCCACAACAGGTATTACTCCAGGAATAGCCAGGCTGCTTCTCTCCCACTGTTTTGGAGAACAACATCCATCAACCTCAGCTAATACTTGGGGATAATGAATGTTGTAATTCAAAATAATCTGGATAATATTGTATTGCCTACCCAACCCTTTCACTGAAAGAATTACTGAACCATTAGCCATAAAGTTAAAATATTTTTTTAAAAAAATCAAAAATATTAACGTTGACTGTTCCAAGTTGGTGCATTATGTTCATGCAGTATACGTTAGGGAAAATCAGTATGTGTTATATTTCAACAGGCTGCTGTTGGAGATATCTCACCAGATGTCAACAGAGAAGAGTTGGAAAATGATTGTAGATAGTTTGTTTTGTAAAGTTAAAGCCACAGACCACATTTTTTTTCCGTGCCTTCTGAGGAATGTGATTTGCATGTGTAGTTGTGTCAACATCCTTTTCGTAACCTCTTGTTAACCGAAAGTTGAACAGTCCTCCAAGTGGTGTATTCATGCTTTTAGAAAGAGGAAGATTTCTTAGTGGGCTTCCCAAGTATTTCTAGAAAGTATATTCTGTTCTTTTGACTGAGATGCCTTTTCTTTTCTTTTCTCTTATGAAATAAGACATGTTGAGGGCATTAATATAATATTACTGTTCATTTTTATGGGGTTCCAAACAGTATTTGAATAAATCTACTGTTTTCACTTCCACATTTTGCTGTCCTGAACAGAAGTGGCAAATTTAAGTATCTTAAGATGTGGTAATTTTTTTTAACTTTCCTTGGTAGCTTAGTGATTTAGATCTCTGGCTGCAAAACCAGGGGTTGCGAGCGATTTACTGTAGTGAAACAGCAGTGAAATTGATCGCACAATGAAGGTCAGGTTTAGCCTCTGATGGTTTGGAGGGAGGTCAGTGATAGCTCTCTTATCTGGAGAAGCTGTTTATGCCTGCTGTATGGGGTAAAGAGGGTCTGTGAGCCCATGAAATATCTCTTACAGTGCAGTCTTGTGCATGTCTACTCAGAAGCAAGTTACATAGATTCAGTGGAATTTGCTCCCAGATAAGCCTGTATAGGATCACACTGTTGCAAAGCAAACCTGTTTGGTGTCTGCAGATCCATTGGCTGAACAAGTTCTGCTATGGTCAGTGGAGAAGGCACTTCCTTCCTTCATTCCTTCCTTCCTTAAAAAATCTATTGGTTGCAACAAAGGGAAATTTTGTATATCAGTTCCAAGTTCGATACAACATTCCCCCAGTTCTTTGAAAGCGCTGGAGGACTAGTGGAAGGCTTTCAATCTGAAGGTTCACCCTCCTCCCTCAGCCATGGGAAGTCTATGACTGCAGGACTTTCTACCTCAGAAGTTCATTGTTGGTTGGTTTTCTGCCTTGATACCTTTCTGTCTGCTAGTAGAATATCACTTATTCCTGTTACTTGGCTTCTTGGTGAAAATAGATTTGCTGTCTTCTATGACTGATTGGCCCAACTGTAGTTAAATTAATTTCTATATGGATAAAACAGTAGTTTTGATGCAGCAGATTTTTAGATGACATACACAAGTACGATAGTGAACATTGCCTACGAAAAAAACATTCTTTCCAGTGAGTGTCACTCCTTCTCATGTGACAAGACGTTTTCCTTTTTATATGTCAGAAAAGGAGGAACACCTCTCTTAAGACAATAGTTATCTGCAATATTCTTAACAACCTATTAGCCGGAGTCTTGTTTTTGATGTACACATGCAGGAGGTAATTTGCATAACACACTATGGCAAATTGCCACTGATTATAACAAGGTGCTGATAGCATTACATATATTGTGCAGTTGGGTACATGCCTCATAGTACTATCAGTGATTTGTTTGTTAGCAACAGTTTGTTGAGGTGGCTTACACAATACAATTTCTGCATGTATAACTCACCAGTAGGATTGTAGCCATTAAAAACAATTCTTTAAAAAATTGGGACATTTTCTGAGTTGGTTATAAAAACATAAGTGCATGTAGCTAAAACAGTATCGTCTAATTTTTAAAATTTTTAATTTTTTTCACTATAGTTCCTAGCCTATTTATAGGTATGACTTGATATGGACTTGTTCTAGTCAACAGCCTAGCAGCTCATGCTGAAATCTTATTTATCATGGGAACAGAACATGTCCATGAGTCATGTGTTGCACAGATAATGTTGTAATGTTCTTTGTTTATTTCAGTGCTTTTAGTAGTATAAACCTTCTCAAGAGAAAGGAATGCAGATATTTTATAAATAAGACCCAATAAGCAGGAACAATATAGGTCAAGGTATGTGAACAGGTACATGAATATATTGATAGTGAGTCACCCAGTGTTTATACCAAGCTCAGTGCTGCCTGGTTCCAGGTCTCTAAGGTATCAGGCTCAGATCTATCCCAGTTATATTACCTTGGTTCCTTGGAGCTATAGATGCCAGAGATCAAACCTTGAATCCTTTGTATGTAAAGCAGAAAACATTGGTCCAATGGACTGTATTTCCAGCCCTATTGCCTGTACTCCTTGGGAAAATGGTGGTTTGTGATGATTTGTGGTTCATCACTATTCACAAATTTTCTGACAAAAGGAACTGTTTCATGGTTCAAGTGTTTCAGGACTTTGGGGAACAATAGAATAACCCATGTGTGAGTTAGAGATTCCAAACTCACAAGGAGTCTTTAGCTGACTCTGCTTCCCACTCCCTGTTTTAAAGAGCATTTCCCTCAATGAACCTGCTTTGTGGGGCTATAACTTGTACATCCCAAATCCAATCTTTGCCAGACTTGGAGGAAGGGAGGAGGAGAATCAGCTGAAGAATCATTGTGAGTTTGGCATCTCTAATTCACACAGGGGCCCTTCTGCTCCCAGAAGTCCTGAACTGCGTGAAGCATACAAATCACCAAAGTGGATAATACTTCAGCATTTAGTTTCATTCTGGACAGGCACATTTCCCTGAAGCGTCCCAAAACAAACCATGAAATGACCCATTTCTTGAAGTGTCTTCTTTCTTTCTTTCTTTCTTTCTTTCTTTCTTTCTTTCTTTCTTTCTTTCTTTCTTTCTTTCTTTCTTTCTTTCTTTCTTTCTTTCTTTCTTATTTGTTTCATGCCCATCTCTACTATTGAACCTTAAAATTTTGATGTTAGTATCTAATGTTA